CTACCTACCCCCCTAAAAAAAGAAAAGAAAGCTAGCTCAAGATGAATCCCCTAAATCAGTGGTTCTCAACGTTCCTAATACTGCAACCCTTTAATACGGTGCTGACCCCCAATCATAAAATTATTTGTTACTACTGCATAACTGTAATGTTGCTACTGTTATAAATGGTAAATATCTGTGTTTTTCCAGTGGTCTTAGGTGACCCCTGTGAAAAAGTCGTTTCACCCACCAGGGGTCGAGACCCATAGGTTGAGAACCATTGCTTTTCTTTTTTTTTAATTGTGGTGACCCCCAACCATAAAATTTTTATTTTTTCTATTATCAGCTTGATACAGTACAAATTCTTATCCTAATAGTGAAATGTTTCACTGAAGCTTGCCCAGTGATGGAGTAAAACCAAAACTTATTATAAGTCACAGTCACCCTAGGGTCCCCCCTCCTATGTAGCCTCCCTGGTTCTGTCTGTGGGTTGCAGTCTGATTGAGAACCACTGCTCTTAAACATCCGCCGTCTGGGTGCATGAGAAAAGTCAAAACACAAAAGCTCACAGAACGTGGAAACTGGGCTCCACATTGAACTGTAAGTCAGTTCTGTCCACTTGACGATTCCTGAGCGGTAGTCGTGTGTCAGTGGCTCTCCACCCTAGAGTACTAAGCAGGGCAGGTACTGGGCCTGCCTCCATGAAGCATGCATTCCAGTGGGACGTGCATGTGATAAGGCTAGTGGACACCTCACCAATGTGTCTCTGCAGCACAGTGGAGAGTTAGTTGAGTCTTGATGGGAAAGGGGCATGCCTCTCAGACCTATTAAATCATCTCCACCCTGCCCTGTGAAGGAGAGGTTGTGATTCACACTCTGAAATGGGAAGATAGTGATCGGAGTTGACCAGGAAATCACATGAAAGGCTGCCTCTGGCCCTGGAATCTTCCAAAAAACCTGACTCCATCTGAATGTGAGTGTTATAAAGGAAAAAATACTGAGGACTGCCTGGGCAAACACAAGGCTAAGGAAGAGACCCAGCATTCTGTGTGCCCAGGTCTGCCGAGCCTCAGGTCCTGGGTCTGCAGGATGGACTCATGCTAGCAGAGAATGTAAAGGCTTCTCAAGAGTTTCTTTGACGTCCATTGCTTTCCTGTAGCTCCGGAGCAGTTATTGAGTGATGTGGACATTGTCCCTACTAGACTGGGAGATGCTTCCAGGGGTCTGCAGACAAAGCGTGGACTTCCCCCACCACTACACCACGTTGTCAGCAGGGAACTCCTAGAGGGGTTGCCTGTGGGGTTCCCGTGTCTCATGGAGGGGCGTGGGGGATGGGGTGGTGGTGGTAAACAACTAATTCATTCATTGCACTCCTACTGTTTTTTGGGACTTGAGATCTTTTCCCAGTATGGGAGAAGCAGTTGTCTTTTGAGGAATAAGGCATGTAGGTGAGGTCTGTGACTGCCTTAGGGCCACAGGAAACTGCTAAGTCAACTGGGGTTGAGGTCAGAGATTACAGTCACTGTAAGAGTGAGAGTAACCATGGCCTTAAGAAAGTCAAAGTCTTTCCTGGAGGCATGACCCCTGTGCTTGAGTACAGAGTCCCTGCCTTCCCATTTCCTGTGGTCATCTGAGATGTCCTTCTAAGTTCCTGAATTTGGGGTAGTAAGTAGCAAGGAGTAGAATGTGAAGGGACATCCAGAATTACCCCAAAACTGGACCTAATGGCCTGGTATCATAGGCCTGTGATCCCAGCAACCTCAGAAGCTGAGACTGAAGGATGCCAAGTTCAAGGCATGTCTGGGCAGTTAAATGAGGCTGTATCTTTGTGGTAGAGGGCTTGCCTAGCATTTTTGAGGCCCTAGGTTCAATTTCTGGCTTGGCAGAATCAGTCTCGGGCTGAGATGTGGCTCAGTGGTAGATCACTGTCCTAGCATATGCAAGGGTCGATCCCCTCAGCATACTGAACATTATCTCAGTGCCATTTCCATCAGCACGGGATACAGGGGTGTCCCCGTGTAGATGGGGCTGCAGCTCACTTGGAAAAAATGGCTTGGGACCAGGTCAGACTTAGTAGGCAGAGAGGGGCATGGGTCACAGGACCAGCTGAAAGCAGGTGCTAAGTGGAGGCCTGGGCCCGTTGTTTAGTAGTTAGAAAGATCAACTGTGTGGGCTGCATTCGATTCATTTTGAATGTCAAAGGAGTCCCTTTCCTCTGGGAGCGAGCCTGAAGGCCTGCTGGCATCAGATGGCACAGCGTGGTTGGGGTTGAAGGTGCAGGCTGACTGCCCTTCAGAGCTGTGGTGGTTTTGTACCATTTTTAGTTGTGATTAGAGCGTGAGCCCTTCTTGCTGCCTACACTACAGATTGTCTTCAGAACTTAGATGGGGCCTGCGATGTCACTCAGCTATGCAGCGCTTGACAGGCTCAAGGTGCTGTGTGCAATCCCAGCACCACAGAACACAGCCAAAGTTTTGGGTTGGATTGAAGAGAATCCTCTTCACTTGGTATTTCAAGTCATTCAGCAGGCAGGGAGGTGTCTGTGAATCAAGTGGACATGTAATGCCGTTTTTTGTTTTTTTGTTTGTTTGTTTTTAAGTTTTTGAGATGGAGGTCTATCTATATCACCCTGGCTATCCTGGAACTTGCTATGAGACTAGGCTGGTCTCAACCCCTGCCTCTGCCTCCTGAGTGCTGGGATGGAGGCATGTACCAGCACACCAGGCAGATGTCAGTATTCTTGATGGAAGTAGAGCGTGTGAACAGTTGGAGAAATACTTGAGGTTGCCATAGCGGACTAGTGTGGTTCAGATTTCAGCCTTGTTACTCCTCACTGTTGCCTCGGTCAAGTTACTTCTCTGGCCTCGTGTGTGTGTGTGTGTGTGTGTGTGTGTGTGTGTGTGTGTGTGTGTGTGTAAGACAATGAGGTCAGTAAAGGTGTGCACTGCACAGTGATGTTTGAGATGACTTTATCTGTAACCACCACAGCAAAGGTTCATCAAGAAAACAGGGACCCAACAACTCAAAGCCTGAGGGGTGCCGAGGGACGTCCTGAGGCCGTGGCTGGTGTGGTTCTGGTTCTGACCTTGACTGGTTGTGGGGCTCTGTCTAGTGCTCCGTGTCCCTCAGTTTCCTCCTCTATCCCATGAGATGGGAAGAGGAAGAGAGCCGATAGGCATGGGGCGTCCAGCCTGTGCTGGGTGCTCTGCATAGCTCGCTTGCCCAGGATCTTCGCGTTAGTAAAGCTGGTCTCTTCCGTTGTCTCTGTGTGTCCAGTGCTCAGGGTTGCCTAGGTTAGCTGCCAACTGCTGCACGTTTTCTGTTCATGGAGTGGGCCAGCACTTCACAGACGTCCCAAGGAGAACACTGGGTGATGGGATTTGAGGCTAGGCGCTAAGTGACGGGCATTTGTGGAATGCCCAGGTATTTCTGTGGAAGTGACTGGTGAATTCTCTCCCACCTTTATTAAATAGTCTTATCTGAGGCAGGCGTGTGGAAGCCTCCCTAGGCAGAGCTGTGTGTCAATACTCCAGTGCACAGAACAGCTCTGGGGCTCTTCAGTGGTGCCCTCTGCGGCCAGGTGTCTGGGTGGAAGAGCCGGCCTGCTTACAGCTGGGATCCCCGTCGGTTGGTGGCAGGGTTTTCCTTGTCATGACGCAGCGATGCTCGTGCCCTGCGGGACCTGTTGACTTCTGTGTTACCAAGTTCTGTGAACTGGACTCCTGACTCCAAGGTGCTGTAGCTCTGTCTCCTGTCTGTGGAAGTTTTTCCATGCCACAGTGCTGTGGGGGAGACTCACCCAAATATAGACTGGTCAGTGCCTTGGCAAGGGCGGCTTTGGCTCTACTTTGCCGACCTTGGGCTCTACAGGTGTCCTGGCGTTCATATTTGGGCGAAGGGTGATACGTGACAGGTGACTTTGGAAGCTGCTTAGATCATTGACATTTGTACCCCCCTTTCAGCACTATGGATTGGACGCAAGGTGTGTGTAAGCACACTACCACTGAGCTATATTCTCAACCCTTTTAAAAATTTATTTTGTTTCATGTGTACCAGTGTTTGCCTACATATATGTAGATCACAACATGTGTACCTGGTTCCCAAAGAGGCCAGAGGGATGCCTGACCCCTGGAGCGGGAGTTACAGACAGTTGGGAGCCACCGTGTGGGTGCTGGAACCTGAACCCAGGTCCTCTGCAAGAGCGGCTAGTGCTCTTAACCGCTGAGCCATCTCTCCAGCTCCAAATTTTGTTTTATCTTTTTTTGGTTTTGTTTTTCCAGACAAGGTCTCACTGTGTAGCTGGCTGTCTTGGAACTCTCTCTGTAGACTAGGCTGACCTCGAACTCATAGAGATCCGCCTCCCTCTGCCTCTCACTGGGATTAAAGGTGTGCACCACCACCACCTGGCTTGTTTTGTCTCTTAATTTCTTTGAGACAGGGTCTCATGTAGCCCAGGCTGGCCCAGAGCTCACTACATAGCACAGGTCTTGAACTTTTCATCCTCCAGCTTCAGTGTGCTGGGATTACCGGTGTGAGCCACCATACCTGGCTTAACAGTTTTAATACAGGATCTTGGTAAATTACCCTGGCCAACCTAGAACTCTCTCTGTAGTCTGGCCAGGTGTGGAATGTGGTCCTCCTGCCCAGACTAACTGAGATTGCAGGCCTTGCTAATGTGCTTTCTCCAGGGTGCTGAAGTGGGTTTCGGAGGGCACGAAGGTGTCAAGGTGTTCAGTTTGGGGGCCTCTTGGGAAGTTGTGGCTAGCTCGGGGGTGCTGAAGGACTCCTGTATAGGGCTGTCAGCATTCTTTCTGCTGGTCTGTTACAGTAGAACTGTTGAGGGCCAGCCCAGCTGACCCCCGTGGGAATGTGACTCAGCAGAACTGGGAGCTGGAGTTGTGTCTAATCATCGTGTAGCATCCAAACACTAAGATTCGTAGTTAGTGACTAATGAACTTGTGCTTCCGTGTCCTCTTCCACACAGGTCCCCGTGTAAACAGGCTCTGTGCCCTCTCCTGCAGGTTTGCCGTCTGGGGACCCCATGGCTGTCCTCACTGCGCTCTGGGGCCCCTTTGCCCACGCCAGCAGAGCATTCGGCCAGCGCTGCTTCAGGTAATGCTTGACGTCTTGTTCTTAAGTGTCCCTGGGTAAGCCTGCTGCCCTGACTGGATCCTGTGGTGACTAGAATGGGAGAGGAGACTCAGGGAGGTGTCATGGGCCAGCCAGAGCTGGGATTTGGTCAGCACAGGGAAGGGCTAGGACAGACGTGCAGATTCTATCTTGGGTGCAGGAAAGCCTGGCCTGTGATGGAAGCTGTCTTCAGTCCTTGCCAGTTCCTTAGAGTCACAGCTCTTGATCCTGTCTGTCATTCCCAGGGCTTTAGAACACCTTACATTAAAAAACAAAAAAATCACTCTGTGTGTGTGTGTGGTGTGTGTGTGTGTGTGTGTGTGTGTGTGTGTGAGAGAGAGAGAGAGAGAGAGAGAGAGACAGACAGACAGACAGACAGAGAGAGAGAGAGAGAGAGAGAGAGATTTGGGCATGCAGGTATCACGGTACACATTTGGAAGTCAGAGGACAGCTTGCAGAAGTTGCTTCTCTCCGCAGTGTGACTCTTAGGGATCCAACTCAGGTCGTTGGGCTTGGCGGCAAGCACCTTTGCCTGCTGAGCCGGCTTACTGACCCCAAACTTTTCTTTTCTTTTCTTCTCTTTCTTTCTTTTTTGGAGACAGGGTTTCTCTGTGGAGCCATGGCTCTCCTAGAACTAGCTCTGTAGACCAGGCTGGCCTTGAACTCACAGAGATCCGCCTGCCTCCCAAGTGCTGGGATTTAAGGTGTGTACCACCCCAAACTTTTTTTTTTTTTTTTAAAGATTTATTTATTTTGCCTGCATGTGTCCCTGCAGGCCAAAAGAGGGCACCAGATCTCATTACAAGTGGTTGTGAGTCACCATGTGGTTACTGGGAATTGAACTCGGGACCTCTGGAAGAGCAGTCGGTGTTCTTAACCACTGAGCCATCTCTCCAGCCCCCAAACTTTTTGATTTTCATGTGCTTCATTTATGGAGTTTCACTCTAGAGCTGTAGCAGGCCTGGATATGTCCATGTAGACCAGGCTGGCCATCTTCCCTCTTCTGCTTCCTGAGCACTAGGGTTTCAAGTGTGGGCTACCAGCCGTCTGCTTTACTCTTTGATTTTCAGACACGATCTCACTAAGTTCCCCAAGCTGGCCTTGAACTCCGTGGCCCACATTGACCTTGAACTTGCCATCTTCGTGCCCAGTCTCTGGCAGGATTGTAGTCTTGCATCACAAAACACGGCAAAATTATTCTTTAATCACAAAATCGCACCGTTCTTGTCAGCACATGCTTCTGTACCAAGCCAAGACGGCCCCACCCCAGCCGCAGCGCCTTCCCCTTTGAGATCCCGTGCGACCCATCTTTACTGCATCCTCAGAGATGAGTGGGAATGGCTTCCAGTGCAGAGCAGTTCCCAAGGCAGGCCTCAGAACGAGCTGTGAAGCCGCTGACTCTAAGAAGAGCTGAGAACGGGGAGGTGGCCCAGCAGGAATGGTGGCTGCCACAGGCCTGGTGACCTGCGTGGGTTCCATCCCTAGGACCCACGTGGCGGAAGGCGAGTACCAGCCCCTGTAAGTTGTCCTCGGACCTCCACACGTGTGTACCTGTGCACACACAAAGTAAAGAAAAGGAGTTTTTAAAGTGAACACGATGAGTATAATAGTAGAGCGGCGAGCGGTTTGGTGAGTGCTTGTCAGATCTGAGAGAGCTGTCAAGGAAGGAGGTAAAGGCACCTAGACAGGGAGTTTGTGAGGACCAGTGGCCAGACTGGATCTGCTAGAAATAGCGTTCTGTTTCTGGAAAGGAACGGGTCTGGGGGGTAGTGTGCTGCAAGCCGTAGCTCCGTCTTCCCCCTTTGGAGGCTAAGGCAGGAGGATCACTTGCTGTCAGGAGTTTGGGCAACCTAGAAGACCCATCTCCACGGGCAAAGCCAAGCCCCTTTGCTAGCATTACAAAGTTGTTGCCTGGACAGTGTCTAGTTTCTGCCGTGTTGTGTCAGGGATCCCTCAACCAGAGTCTCCGGGTTCCAGACTCCATGAGAGCAGGGTAGGGCTGCACCTGGGGAAGCAGGTTCTGCAGGATTGGCAGGGGTGAGGCTGCCTGTAGAGATTCCTTTAGCTCTCCTCGCCCTGCAGAAAGCAAAGGCTGCGGGTGAAGTAGTCCATGAAGTTTGTTGTCGGAGAAAAATAGGAATCTTGACACCCAGTAGAAGCTCTTAGTTTATGAAAGCGGGTCTCACTGAGGAACACAGGCTGGCCTCAAGCCTTGATCCTCCTGCCTCAGCTTCTCAAGTGCTGGGATTGCAGGTGTATGCCAGCACACTGTCTGAGATGTTCTCAGTTATAAGGAAATCAGTAGTTAAGGCTTCACAAACCCCTGACTTTATTTTGGGTCCTGGGTCATCCCTGCTCAGCATGCACATGCGTGTCTATGCATGTGGCTAACGTGCACCTTCCGGCTCTCTGAGACCTGTGCCCTGTGGCCCAGAGAGGTCCGTGTCACAGATTCTTTTTCTCTCTCTCTAGCACCTCTGGGAGCCTCGGTGCCATCCAGAAGATGACTCGGGTGCGTGTAGTGGACAACAGTGCCCTGGGAAACACCCCATACCATCGGCCGCCTCGATGCATCCACGTCTATAACAAGAGTGGGGTGGGCAAGGTAGGCGATCAGATTCTGCTGGCCATCAGGGGGCAGAAGAAGAGAGCACTCATTGTGGGGCATCGCATGCCTGGATCCCGGATGACTCCAAGGTTTGACTCCAACAACGTGGTCCTCATCGAGGACAATGGGAACCCTGTGGGGACTCGAATTAAAACACCTATCCCATCCAGCCTTCGCAAGAGGGAAGGCGAGTATTCCAAGGTGTTGGCCATAGCTCAGAACTTTGTGTGAGCAGAGCGGCTCTGAGCCATGCAGGCGTCCCTTCACACTGGTGACATGTCCTGGAACAGAATAAATGTTTTAATGTGTGTTTTCTTCCTGTGCTGTCTGAGCTGTAGTCGTGAGGTGGGTAACAGAGCAGTTGAACGCTGGTCTCCTCCCTAGACCCCAGGGATGCTCTGGGCTTGCTTTTACAGCCGACAGCCTTGCGTCCATGCAGTGATTCAGTGCCTGTTTCTCTTCTCTTCACCTGTCCATCTCCTTGTGGGGAGTAAGGACTCTTAGTTTTTTTAAAAGAACCTTATCAACTCTCAAAGTGTTTTGTTTAAGATACTGTGGGGTTGGAGAGGTGGCTGCTCTTCTATTCCCAGCACCCATATGGAGGCTCGCAACCTTCTGGAACTACAGTTCCGGTGGATTTGATGCCCCCCGCTTCTGGCCTCGGTGGGTACATGTGGTACACAGACATGCATGCTGGCAGAACACTCCTGCACATGAAATTTAAAAAATAAATAAATTAAAAGATACTATAGCGACTTACGAAAGTATCTTCTTGGCGTCTGAGGGCCGATGATGGGGATTCACAGGCTCTGGGTTCAGACTGCCTGGATTTGAGTCACAGCTCCACCCCTTACCACCTCATAACGTTGGACAAGTTGGTTTATTTGTCTGAGCCTCCGTGTCCTCACAGTATGCATGACAGTGGTGCCCACACGATGCCATTGATACGAAGATTTCCAGTGCCCGTGATTGCTCAGAGCGATCCCTGGCTCTTTCCTGTGTCGTGACTGCATGTGCCAGTTCCAAGAGAACAAAGGTGAGTGAAGGCAGGTGTGGTTCTTGTCCTCCTGGCACTCAGAGTATTTATTACAGAGGGAGTCCACAGAAACTCAGTAATTCCTCTAACACACGCAGTGCCCAAGTGTAGCAGGGACTTACCACGAAGGGTTAGGCCTTCAGTAAGGTTGGTGCTGTCCTAGAGAAAGGGTTGCCGGCCTCTGCTGCATCTAAATTGGCATTGTGATAGAAGCCCAAGTAAGGGTTACTTGAGGGGCTGGGGGTGGTGTGGATTGGAAGGGGCAAGAGGGAGCCTCTGGGCATTGGGAATGTGTTAGACTTCGCAGTTGGTGAGTGTTTATATCTGTGAATAATTAATGAGCTGTACACTCATGTCTTTTTTTTTTTTTTTTTTTTTTTTTTTGGAGCTGAGGACCGAACCCAGGGCCTTGCGCTTGCTAGGCAAGCGCTCTACCACTGAGCTAAATCCCCAACGCCCACTCATGTCCTTTTAAAGGAGTAGGGATTTGCTAGGGAGAAAGGGGCCTGTGCACAGGCCCTGGGGTAAGTACCAGGGCCTTTAACATGTGAGCCTTTGGGGCCACTTCACATCTGGCTATAGCAAGTCAGGAGAGGAGTGGACCTCCATTTACTCAGGGCCCCATGGCCGTGGGAAGGAGACTTTTCTTATCCAAATATATTAAGATGCATGTGGTGGGTATTCAGGGAAGAGGAGGGGAGGAGAGTTGGAAGAGGACAGACTGCAGTAGTCCTGTAAGATGCTACCATGAACTGGGCACAGTCAGAAGTAGATGCCTTGAATAGCTAAGTTTGGCAGTGGGCTGAGACGGTGATGACCAAAGGTGAATCTGGGGTTTCTGGATTCCACTCATGAGGAACACTGAGCTAGGGGGCTGCTGGAGAGGCCTGAGGGTCTGAGAGGGAAGTGGTAGTGGGTAGGTAATTAACCGTGCCTCTGAGGTACCGAGCAGGTAGCTGAGTATAGTCTAAAGTTATACACTGTGAGACATCCAGGGATGCAGTATCCCAGTGCTTCTCACAGCCCTTGGGTTTGCAAGCGTTGACCCCATTGCAGGTGAGGACAGTTTCAGAGGCCGTGTGGGAAAGCTGGGTCTCAGGCCAGATCTATGACTTCCCGTTCAGAGTCTTCCCCTAACATCCCCGACTCTATTTTTACTGTTGCTGAGGTCTCTCTATCTTGACTTCCACCAGCTGTGATCCTGCAGGCTGCCATTTTGATTCTCCTGCATACCTCAGGGCAGACCTTGGTGGTGGTGGTGGTGGTGGAGGTGGAGCACTGTCTGCCTGAATACGAACAGCAGACACTCAGCTTGTGTCTTCCAGCCCCGGTGTCTCCTGTGTCTCCTGCTCACAGGGCTCCTCTGGCTAAGTTTGCTTCACGGGATCCTGGGTATTTGGGGAGCCTGCCCGTCCCTCCTGCCCGTGTGCCCGGACTGGTGCAGTAGGGCTGCTTTAGGGAGCTGTAGGAGTGGGCCAGCTGTGGCAGAGCACCCGCCAACACCTTGCTGTTTTGCTGGTGTATTTGCAGCCTGGCAGCTGGGACTTAGTGGGCTCTTAATTCCCTGCTGTCTCCGCAGCTTGGAAGGTGGACTGGTGGGGGTGGGGTGGATGAAGCCTCTGTCTTGGGGCAAAGGAAAGCAGTGATTGTCCTCAGCCTGACATAACCTGCTTTTGCCTGGACCTTTGCTCTTGACAGGACAGCTTGGCCTGAGCTACCTTACAGCTGCTCTGGCCATTTGCTTAGCCGGAGTTGGTTCCTCCCTCTGCCCGGTCATGTGTTTTCAGGGTGCTGGCTGCTCTACTGCGCCCCCTCACCTGTGTCCTGGCTGTTGAGGCTCACCGGTGTCCTCTGAGTGGCTCTATCCTTGCTGTCCCCTCTGGTCTCTTACGGACTTAAGTGCACTCCCAAGGTGTACTGTGCTGCCCACTGGAAGCCTGTGGTTTCAACACAGCCGAGTGGCCGGTGCCTGTGACGCAGGCCCTTGTAGCACACTGCCCAGAATAGCCCGGCCTCGCCGCCCTTCCAGCTCTCCTATCACTTTGCGAAGGGAGATCTAATTGGTTGCCTCCCCCCACCCCACCCCCAGTGCCCACAGCCAGCACTTTCTTTGCCCATGAAATATTTATAATCACAGATTATGTTTCCGCGGGAGTGTAAGCTTGCTTTTGTTTATTCCCCTTCTGGGCCCCTAAGAAGCCGCCCGTCGGGTTTGCAGCCTCACTCATCCTTCCAGGGTCACCGTGGGCGTCACTGCAGTGTCTTTGCTGGTGTCCTGCCCACCCACAGTGTGACTCTGCCACGTCGCTACAGAAGGACTGTGGTGGGAAAGGCGTCTGCGGTTGGAAGCCTGTCCCCAGCTAGCTGTGTGTCTGAGCACAGGCTCGGGCTGGAGGGGAGATGCGGCTTATCCTTTGATGGCTTGGTGCTCAGGAGGCCTGGATGATTGCTACATTTCACAGATCCAGCCCGGCACTGTAAGCCCTCACCCCGGCCACCTTGAAGGATGTGCCCATGGCTGAAGATAGGGACCTGGCCAAAGCGTGTGCAGAGGCTGCCTTACCCTGACACTCTAGAAGTCACCTGTCTCTGGCAGGAGTGTCAGGTGGTCCATCCCAACACCCCCAATGCCACCAACCCTGCCTCCTGCATGGCCTCTGCTTCCCACTTAGCCTCTCTTGGCTTTTTCACGTTCCCTCATGGTCCTTGGTTAGAGAACTTAGAATGTCTCTCACTGTAGTACAGACTGGCCTGGAGCTCCCTATGTAGACCAGGCTTGACCTCATGGTAGTCCACCTGCCTCAGCATCCCATGTGCCGAGATGTGTGGTGTTACGCCCAGCTCAGGCTGAGAACAGTTTTTGGTGGAGATTGCACTATATTGGGGTCAAATGCGTAGCTGAAATTGTACTCGTAGCTGAAATTTGTAATTCAGTCTTCAGGAAAGAAAGAAACTGGCCTTTTGTTTTATTTTTCCCCACCTGTTTGGCTGTGGACCACTATTTTGTTCTCAGCCTTGGAAACATTTTTGCTAAACTATTTTATCAAATATGACTCATTTCCAGTGTTATCTGGCCTTCCTGGGATGAAAGGGATCATGGGTTTGCTTAACACATTCAGGGTAGTGATGACCCCTTGCCATTTGCTTGACAGTATGACAGGCCATCTGTCTCCTTGGACACACTACAGGCTTGCTGAAAATGGAAAACTGATTTTGAGAATTTCACAAGAGCTCTTGCATAATTGGGATACCCTTGGGTATTATGAAACCTGGAGTGGGTGAGTGATGGAGGCCCAATATTTACAAACCAAATAGAAGCAACCCTTGCTCACCAGGCTGGAGGGTTCAGCTGGCCATTTGTCCCCTGTGTCCCCCCAGTCCTGCTGCAGGCTTCCTGTTGATTTCACCGTGCTTCCCCAGAGCTGCCTGGCACAGGAGAAGAAGGGGGTGTCTCTCCCATGCTGGCCTTGGCACTGGCTACCACACCTGGCCTCCAGGGGATTTGCAGCCTGGAAGTGGACTGTACTGCCCTTTCGGGGTTAACCCAGCACCTTCCTGACTAGCCACAGCTGATGTCCAGAAAGGGGTGGGCACATCGGAGCCAGGGAGCTGTGCGTTCATGTGTCCATAATCACACCAGTGTTCCGTTCGTAACAAACAATAACTGAGCTTGCCGCCAGCTCTGTTCAGGGGTGTGGGGAAAGGAGGATGCTTAAGTGAAGGTTTTAGGGTTCTTTGTAGAACCTCTTCCTCCAGGACAGATCCCTGTAATTACAGTCCTGTGGTTCCTCAATTATCCCAAACACTCTTTGCTGCAGACCTCCCAGCCAACAGGCATCCTTTGTATTTAATTTTTTTGCAGAGAGTTTGTGGGTGCATGTATTTATTTTGTTATGCATAAAAATTAATTTTTGTCCTCTTCATAGGGTTGTATGTTTTGTGTTTTTAAAAATATTTATTTTTACTTTGTTTATTGGAGGCCAGAAGTGGTATCTGATCCCCTGGAGCTGGAGTTACAGGTGGTTGTAAGCCATGGATGCCGGGAACTGAACTCAAGTCCTTTACGAGATCCCTTCGCTGACAGAATACCTAAGAGAAGCAGTTGAAGGGAGGAGAGACCTCGTGGCTCGTGGTCTTGGGTCGTGGTCAGATGCTCCACTGCTCACGGCCTATGACGAGGCACGGTAGTGCATGGAAGAGGCCGCTAACCTCACAGTGGCTGCAGAGAAAGGGTGAGCTCCCGAGGTCTTCTGCAAGCACACGCCTCCCATGTGGCTTC